AGTAGATGGTATGTTCTACAGAACTACTTGTCCGTGTTCATGAAGTACAAGGTCATTACTTTGGGGTTCACTAGTTTTGTGCTTGTAATAAAATTCTTTAATGAGCATTAAAGTGGCACTTCATGGGGCAACTTCTAGCTTTTATGTATTTTTTTTAACAGTGCTGTATTTTCTTAAGTATTCTATACATCAATTTCAGTTTTCTTTTTATAATTCAAAGACTTTTAATTTCTTTGAATAAATAAGGTTCTGCATAGCAGCAGAAAACATTATACATTTTATAATTTTAATTCTGATCTGTATATATAATTGAAAATTTTTTATAACGTAGTCATTGTTTTACTTCCCCCAGAGTTTCTTTATGCCAGTTATTTGAATCCACTTCAGCAGTGTTGAATCTTTTAGGTCATGCTAGTGAAATGTTTCTGGTACATAGAAATGGTTACTGTATTTTAATTGAAGAATTCTATTTTTAAAGAAGACTCATAGTATATTTAGAGGAACATTTGGAAGTATATTTCCTAAGTTTTTACTTGCTATATAGACATTTTAGAACATGTGTGGGTGTGTAGATAGGTTTTTGAAACTATTAGTTAAATTATTCCCCTTATTTGATAAAATGTGATTTAATTTTATTAAAGAATTTTGCAAGTGTGTTGTGATTTAGAATACTCTATAGAAAACCTGTAGGAGACAAAAAAAAATCTATAAGACTCAAGGATGGATTAAGTTAGGAGAACATATTGACATTTTTTTAATCCTTTGAAATCTGCTAATGCACTGAAATGAATGGGTCTCCACAGGAACCACCTCTGGTGTTCTCATTACCATTTGAGATTTTAGAGAAAATCCTAAAGTAGCTTTTTTTCCCGTCTAACACTTTTCTCCATTTCTAGCCATTTTTCAAGTAATTAGTAGTACTTTCTTTGGGGCTGTACATAGATAAAAATTGTAAAACTAAGAAACCTACTTCACACTTTAAAAGATTTTTAAAATAAATATGTGACTTATGTTTAGACTAAGAAGCCAAAGCTTATACATTTACTTTAATTTTTGAATAGAACTCAGAATGTGCCATTTTTGTAAGTTAAGGATGGTCAAATATCTGCCATTCCATATGGTTCAATCTTGTCTTTATATAAATGAACCACACAGCACTGACAGGAGCACAGAGTATAGTGTGTTACTTCTTTACAGTAAGGAAATTTCAGTTTTAACTTTTTGTTTGGTTATTCATATTTCCAGCTACCAGTTCCAGGCCTTTCCAATGGTTTGATATATATATTTTTTTCTCTTTTGTTAGCCACCGCTAAGCAGGCAGCGTTGTCACAGTGTTAATTAAATAGACCCTACTTTGCTGTTTAGCAACAGGATCTTGACTGGTTTTCATATGTAAATTTGGTCTGATTCTAGTCTTCCAGCTCAGTGGCCTCTACGAAGTCTAAACAGTTGTTTCTGGTTCTCCTCCTCTTTTCCTGTTCTGGTTGGGGAGGGTGGAGAGTTGGAGCTTGGGATGGTAACATGCCTGTCGGGAGCTGCTACAGGACTTTCCTGTGTTTACGCGGGAGGAGTGACTCTGAGTGATTCGGCATCTTCTTTCCTTCAAGTCATGTTGCCATTTTGTATTTAGCCAGTTTATCAGAACATGTTGCAAATCTCCAAATTTGCGAGGCCCACAGTAAAGTACAGTGTTCTCCAATAAAGTATGGTAAAGTATAAGTAAGTTTACAAAAGATAGAAAATGATAATGCTGAGTTTAGTTTCAGATTTTGGGTTGGATAGATACTCACTAAGTATTTTTATACATGATCCATAGTCATGCCTTGGCAAAATTATAAACTTCTGTGCTGCAGTGCTTAGACTTTTAAAAATATTTTTCAGTTCAGGGTTTGGGGACTCTAAAACTACTTTACTCTGAAAACAAGTCTAGGGCAAAAACAACAATATACCTTCTTCAATGCCCTGCCTTAGCTATGGTCATCTCAGCTAATCTTAGCAGTGAGATTTTAATCATGTGTTTTTAAAAGTCTCTCTTCTTTTTAATCCCTCAGATAAAAATGGCAGAAAGGCCCAAACTTGCTGTGTGTGGACATTATGATTATTATTATGCCCAACTTGACTTGTTGAGAAAGAGAGCCCACGGACCAAATTACCTCTATGTTCCTCAAAACGATACCAGAGTTGAGGAGAATTATAATCAGGAAGAACGCCACAGTCCGCCTCCAGGTCAATGGTAATGTCATAGTCTGACTTAAACTTTGGTCCTCTGAAAACATCTTGACAGATCAATATTTATTCTGAAATCTTTCCAAATTCTCCTAAAACATCTGGGAAGAGCTTACAGACTCTCATTTAAAATACTTAACTCACAGTTCCCTTGATCCTTTTTCATCTCGGGTCTGATGTAGCTAATCTTACTCATGTAGACATTTAACTGTGGGCACGGATTCATACTCTGGAATTTTTTATGTTTTTTCTGTTTTCTAGCAAATTCCACGATCCAGGAGTGATGAAAATATTTGTATATGTATCATTTTCCCAAGAGGTTATTAATATTAATCAATAATAATTGAATTGTAGTCAAATGATAATTTGAGACATATTGAAAAGTGAACATATTCTTTCAGCATTTATATTCTTGGGAGTTTGGGGGATATGGATGTATTAGAAAGAAACTAATATAATTACACTGCTCTTATGGTGGCCTTTTAAAAAGTTTATTCCATAACAAATTTCTGCAGATCCACGATACTTTTTAGTGTTTCATTCACACTGATGTCAGGGATCTTGTATTCAGAATATTTGACCCCCATCCACAGCTCTGAAGACCTAAGTCTGAGAGTCACTTTTTAATAATGTTTTTGCCCTCACATTTTTTTTTTCAGGTTTGGGAATTTGCTAACTTTTGGGGTCTATGGTTATTTATTGTTGAAATTTTGGATGAATAATGAAAAATACGAAAGACTATGTGATTGGTGATCTTACCAGATAGCTAATGAAAATCAGATAAGTCAGACTAATAAAATAATGATTTCTCCAGAAATGCATGATGGGAAAAGTAGATGTTTTATTCTATTTCTTAATTAATCAACTAATTAATTAATTTTAGTGGATGTTTTATTTTGAAAGCTACAGGTGCTGTTATGGTTTTATGCATCTTCATAACACATTTTTAATGATCTCCATGATCACCAGCGTTATGTATTCCACTAGTTCAAATTGCAGGATTCATACAGGACTCAAGTAATGTCCTGTATGTCACATATATTTTACATGTGAACTAGGTGCAGCCACCAAACTCCCTTTCCCTTTTCTCAGCCCCTGGGAAAACGTGTCTTCCACTCTTTGTCTAGATATGGGAGCTGTCAAACTATCAATTATTTTGATTACATATGATTTTATCTCCTACATTCTCACATAAAATGTACTGTGATCTGAAATGTGGTGGATTTTATGTAGCAATAATCAGTAATGATGGAAATTCTTCGCAGGAAATTCTGCAGAAAGATAGGTATCTAGAACATAGGTGTAAACCTGAAAATAGTTTGACCAGAATTGACTAGAATTGTGCTGGAAAAATACTTAAATATTGTGAGAGATGGCTAAAGCCTGTCTCTGTATTCATTAAGCATTTGTGTGCCCGCGAGAGGAGCAGAGGTGAAGGGAGGGGCCCCCATCCTGCTCTCAGGGAGCTCAGCGTGTCCTGTGGGAAATAGCCAAGCAACTGTCAGTCAGATCGGCGGCGTGACAAGGCTGTAGATGAGATTCCCGCACGCAGCATGAGAAGATCCTGCTATGGGCTTTTCCTTTTTCCCTCCAACATTTTATAGACTCTGGGTGGACTGACTCCTGCCCTGAAGAAAAATCACTGGATCAATATTTTTCTGTTTTTATCCTCTCCTGTATCCCCAGTTGTCACTGTTCTTTCTACCTCTCTTTCTTCTTAATTCCAAAGATCTTCTTTTCCAATGTACACATTCTGTGACTTTGAACTACTTCTTGAACTCGGAATTTCAAGCCACTGGTGAATTGTGAATCCTGTTACAAAGCTGAAAACTCACTTGTCAAATCGGTGCCTAAGACTAGTTAAAATTTCCACTCAAGCTGAATGTTTTTGTTTCCTAAGGCCTGCTGAATACCTTCAGAGGAAATTTGAAGCTCAACAATATAAGCTGAAAGTGGAAAAACAGTTGGTAAGTAAACTGCCTAATTGAAGAGGCCATCAGGAATTTTCTGCTAGTTTCTCTGTTCACAAATATTCATGGATCCTGAAGTCAAAGTTCATTCCACATAGATTAAGACTACCCTTCAGCTTCCCCAGTTTTTAAAGCTAAAGGGGAATAGGCTTCAATTAGGGGCTGAGAAGCCTAGTTCCTTCCCTGGCTCCACCACTTGCTGTGTGACCTTAGGCAGGACATACCACCTCTCTGAGCCTCTATTTCCTTTTCTATAAAAGCTGTAGATGGGCTTCGCGGTCCCCTTCAGTGCTGCAATTCTTAATTCTGTTTTATTAGAATTCTACATATTTTTTAGCAAATGACTATTGTATTTTTTTACATTTTTTATTGATTCATAATCATTTTACAGTGTTGTGTCAAATTCGTGTTCAGCACAATTTTTCAGTCATTCATGGACATATACACACTCATTGTCACATTTTTTTCTCTGTGATTTATCATAACATTTTGTGTATATTTCCCTGTGTGACTATTGTATTTTATTAGAAATGAAAGTTAACCTTTATCCTTAAGGATAGTGTCAAAATTCTGAGGCTGAGGGAGACTGGATATGCGTCTTATTTCTACTGCTCTTATTTTGAGCTGCTCAATAGCTCTAGTTCTCTTCCCTATTTAATCCCCTGCTCCAGGAGTTGCTAAACTTTTACAGAACTTTGATTTCACAATTGTAGTTTACCAGTTCAGGAAAGGAATCCAGGCATCTCACATGGTAGCATAAAATATCGACTGCTTAGGATAAACAACACAAATGGTTATATTCATTTTCTTTACTTTTAAAATATTTACATTTAAACTAAGAAAATTCTGTGGCTCACTATAAAAAGAATCTCCCAAATGCTGGGATTGATGATATTATTATTATTTAAAGAATAGGGACAAGGTCAAATCGTAAGATGTTTCTAGAATGCAAGAACGCTTTGTAAATTATTTCATTCAAATGATAGGGTCTTCGTCCGTCTTCTGCTGAGCCAAGTCACAACCAGATACAAAAGCTAAGAAGTAACGGAGAAGAGCCTGGTTTCCAGGGACTGCAGTTCAGGAGAAACAAAATGAAGGAACAGGTTAGAAACAGCCCTCTTCCAGGGCTACCATTGTATTTGTCTCATTGTCTTTTGTGCTGTAATGAGGTGTGGCCCGAGAGGGCGGTTAGCCAAGTACTTGGTGGACACGCTGGTGTGAAGCACCATCCTGGGGGTTTAGAGGAGACAGAGATCTGCATTTCACCTTCTCGGAGAATGCAGTGTGGCTGCGTTCATAAGTCTTTTCCCTTGGATTGATAAACTGTCCATCCTTAACATTT